TCCCTTCAACTGGAAGAATGCCAAGGTCACCTTCAACCTATCATCCTCGATGCCAAGCATCTCGAATGTCTTCACCATTTGCTCGAGCCATTCATCCATTTTCAAAGGCTCTTTATGATCACCCAAAAACTCGTTCGGATTAGATCGGAAGAACTCTCTTCAAGAACGACTGCCTTGCTTCAGCAACTTGGGCCTGGACTTGATTCTCAACCTTGAGAATGTCCATGGATTCCTGCAAAGCCCTGGCCATTTCACGGGCCAAGGCGCCTATGGCCTACTGACCAACCAGTTTGGTCACATTGGCCTGACCAGCTCCATCTTCCTGCACCAGAATTTCATCCAGTAACGGCACCTCATGCCGTCTAGGCCTAGTACGCCTACCACGTCCACATCTTGATATCTTAATGAAGGTAACAAAAGAGATTAGCACATTCACAATGTGCCAAAGCTAACTCACTCGCGTCCTAAGGCAATAGGCAACAGATAATTCACTCCATATAAGCACATAGTCACATAAATACATACGAATTTCCTTTCTAGACGATTATCGCCCCACTACATTGCCAAAGTTCTAATTAGAAATAGCAGTGATCAAGTGCTCTTCTAATAGAACTTCTAGAAACTCGTAGAACTTCCTTGGGCCTTGTCGTGACTGGTACACGATTTTGGCCCGCGATGGCCTATTTTCACAATTAAGTTTGAGAAAATTGCCTTTTTGGACTTATTTTTCAAACCGGGAGTCCCGTGCTAATTCCTTTGAGGTGTTTCCCGGGCCTTCTCATGACTGTTACACGATTTAGCCTCCGATGGCCTATTTTCAACCTTAAGTGTGAAAAAATTGCATTTTTTGACTTAGTTTTCAAACCGGAATCTCGTGCCAGTTCCATAAGTTTCCACAACTTACATTGGTCCTTCCCAAGGTGTTTGAGGTATTCCCTGGGCCTTCTCGTGACTGTTACACGATTTTGGCCCCTAATGGACTATTTTCAAGCTTAAATGTGAAAAAGGTGTCTTTTTTGTCTTAGTTTTCAAACCGGGAGTCCCGTGCTAGTTCTGTAAGTTTCCACAACTTACATTGGTCCCTCTTGAGGTATTTGAGGTGGTCCCCACACCTACTCGAGACTGTTACACGATTTTGGCTCCCGATGGCCTATTCTCAAGCTTAAGTGTGAAAAAAATGCATCTTTTGACTTAGTTTTGAAACCGAGAGTCCCGTGCTAGTTTCGTAAGTTTCCACAAAATACATTGGTCCCTTCCGAGGTGTTTGATGTGTTTCCTGTGCCTTCTCATGACTGTTACATGATGTTGGCCCCTGATGGCCAATTTTCAAACTTAAATGCAAGAAAAGTAGCTTTTTGGACTTAGTTTTCAAACCGGAAGTTCCGGGGTAATTCCATAAGTTTCCAAAACTTATATTGGACCCTCCCAAGGTGTTTGAGGTGTTCCCCGGGACTTCTCCTGACTGTTAATCGATTTCGTTCGCCGATGGCCTATTTTCAAGGTTAAGTGTGAAAAAAAGTGTCTTTTTCGACTCAGTTTTCAAACCGGGAGTCCTGCGCCTGTTCTGTAAGTTTTCAAAACTTACATTATTAGTCCCTCTCGAGGCGTCTGAGGTGTTCCCCGGGCCTTCTCGCGACTGTTACAAAAATTTGGCCCCCGATGGCCTATTTTCAAACTTTAAGTGAAAAACATGCATTTTTTGACTTAGTTTTCAAACTGAAAGTCCCATGCTTGTTCTGTAACTTTCCACAACTTACATTGGTCCCTCTAGAAGTGTTTGAGATGTTCCCCGAAAAGTCTCGCGCCTGTTATACGATTTTGGCCCCCGATGGCCTATTTTCAAGCTTTAGTGTGAAAAAAGTGACTTTTTCGACTTAGTTTTCAAACCGGAAGTGTCGTGCAACTTCCGTAAATTTCCACAACTTACATTGGTTCGTCCTAAGGTGTTTGATGTGTTCCCCGGGCCATCTCGTGACTGTTACACGATTTTGGACCCCGATGCCTATTTTCAAGCTTAAGTGTGAAAAAAGTGCCTTTTTCGACTTAGTTTTCAAACCGGTAGTCCTGTGCTAGTTCTGTAAGTTTTCACAACTTACATTGGTCCCCCTGGAGGTGTTCAAGGTATTCTCTGGGCTTTCTCGTGATTGTTACACAACTTTGGCGTCGAATGGCCTATTTTCATGATTAAGTGGGAAACAGTGCATTTTTTGACTTAATTTTCAAACCAGGAGTCCCGTGCAAGTTCCGTAAGCTTTCACAACTTGCATTAGTCCATCCCGAGGTGTTTGCGGTGTTCCCCGGGCCTTCTCGTGATAGTTACCCGATTTTGACCCCCGATGGCCTATTTACAAGCTTAAATGTGAAACAAGTGCATTTTTTGATATAGTTTTCAAAACAGGAGTCCCGTACTAGTTCCGTAAGTTTTCTCAACTTACATCGGTCCCTCCCGAGGTGTTTGAGGCGTTCCACGGGCCTACTCGTGACTGTTACACGATTTTGGTCCCCGATGGCCTATTTTATAGCTTAAGTGTGAGAAAAATGTCTTTTTCAAATTAGTTTTCAAACCGGAAGTCCCGTGCTAGTTCCGTAAGTTTCCACAACTTACATTGGTCCCTCCCAAGTTGTTTGATGTGTTCCATGGGCCTTCTCGTGACTATTACACGATTTTGGCCCCCTGATGGCCAATTTTCAAGCTTAAGTGTGAGAAACGTACCTTTTTCGCCTTAGTTTTCAAACCGACAGTCCCGTGCTAGTTCTGTAAGTTTCAATAACATACATTGATCCCTCCCAAGGTGTTCCCCGGGTGTTCTACTGAATGCTACACGATTTTGGCCCCCGATGGCTTATTTTTAACCTTAAGTGTGAAAAAAGTGCATTTTTTTACTTAGTTTTCAAACCGGGAGTCCTGTGCCAGTTCCGTAAGTTTGCACAACTTACATTGGTCCCTACCGAGGTGTTTGACGTGTTCCTCACGCCTTCTCGTGACCGTTACGCGATTTTGGCCCCCTGATGGCCTATTTTCGAACTTAAGTTTGAAAAAAGTGTCTTTTTCCACTTAGTTTTCAAACAGGGACTCCCGTGCTAGTTCTGTAAATTTCTACCACTTATATTCGTCCCTCTTGAGGTGTTTGAGGGGTTTCGCTAGGGTTCTCGTGACTGTTACACAATTTTGGCCCCTGATGGCCTATTTTCAAGATTAAGTGTGAAAAAAGTGCAATTTTTGACTTAGTTTTGAAACGAGGAGTCCCGCGCAAGTTCCGTAAATTTTCACAACCAGCATTAGTCCCCCCCGAGGTGTTTGAGGTGTTGCTTCGGCCTTCTCGTGACTGTTACAGGAATTTGGCCACTGATGGTCTATTTTCAAGCCTAAGTGTGAAAAAAAATGCATTTCCTTAACTTAGATTTCAAACCGGAAGTCCCGTGCTAGTTCCGTAAGCTTCCACAACTTCTATTGGTCCTTCCCGAGGTGTTTGATGCGTTTCTTGGGCCTTCCCGTGACTGTTACACGATTTTGGCTCCCGATGTCCTATTTTTAAGCTTAAGTGTGAAAAAAGTGACTTTTCCAACATAGTTTTCAAACCGGGAGCGCCATGCTAGTTCGGTGAGTTCCCACAACTTACATTGGTCGCTCTCGAGGTGTGAGGTGTTTTCCGGGCCTTCTCGTGACTGTTACACAATTTTGGCCCTCGATGGCCTATTTTCAGGATTAAGTGTGAACAAAAGTGTATTTTTTGGCTTCGTTTTCAAGTCGGGAGTCCCGTTGAAGTTCCGTAAGTTTCCACAACTTACAATGGTCTCTCCTAAGGTGTTTGAGGTATTCCTCGGACATTCTCGTGATTGCTACATTGTTTTCAAACCGGAAGTCCCGTGCTAGTTCTGTAAGTTTTCACAACTTACATTGGTCCCTCCCAAGGTGTTCAAGGCGTTCATTGGGCCTTCTCGTGATTGTTACACGATTTTGGCACCCGATGGCCTATTTTCAAGCTTAAAAAAAGTGTCTTTCTCGACTTAGTTTTCAAACCGGAAGTCTCGTGCTAGTTCCATAAGTTTCCACAACTTACATTGATGCCTCCCGAGTTGTTTGATGTGTTCCTTGGGCCTTGTCGTGACTGTTACACGATTTTGGCCCGCGATGGCCTATTTTCACAATTAAGTTTGAGAAAATTACCTTTTTGGACTTATTTTTCAAATCGGGAGTCCCGTGCTAGTTCCTTTGAGGTGTTCCCCGGCCCTTCTCATGACTGTTACACGATTTTAGCCTCCGATGGCCTATTTTCAACCTTAAGTGTGAAAAAATTACATTTTTTGACTTAGTTTTCAAACCGGAATCTCGTGCCAGTTTCATAAGTGTCCACAACTTACATTGGTCCTTCCCAAGGTGTTTGAGGTATTCCCTGGGCGTTTTCGTGACTGTTACACGATTTTGGCCCCTAATTTTCAAGCTTTAGTGTGAAAAAGGTGTCTTTTTTTGTCTTAGTTTTCAAACCGGGAGTCTCGTGCTAGTTCCGTAAGTTTCCACAACTTCTATTGGTCCTTCGCAAGGTGTTTGAGGTATTTCTTGGGCCTTCCCGTGACTGTTACACGATTTTGGCTCCCGATGGCCTATTTTGGGCCTACTCGTGACTGTTACACGATTTTGGCACCCGATCGCCTATATTGGGCCTACTCGTGACTGTTACACGATTTTGGCACCCGATCGCCTATATTGGGCCTACTCGTGACTGTTACACGATTTTGGCACCCGATCGCCTATATTGGGCCTACTCGTGACTGTTACACGATTTTGGCACCCGATCGCCTATATTGGGCCTACTCGTGACTGTTACACGATTTTGGCACCCGATCGCCTATATTGGGCCTACTCGTGACTGTTACACGATTTTGGCACCCGATCGCCTATATTGGGCCTACTCGTGACTGTTACACGATTTTGGCACCCGATCGCCTATATTGGGCCTACTCGTGACTGAACAAGATAGATACCACTACCAACTATGCTATAAACCATGGAACTATTCCTTGAAAATAAACCAAATATTACAAATAGCATGTGGAATACTTAATATAAGAACAGCCCTTCAGACCTCCAAATGACACGCTGCTTCCATATTGTCAATTGGAACAATTTAAAATTTTCCAAGTCAAACCACACTAGAACCAAGATAACTCCATTTGTGGCATTTGGTTAAAGTGGATCTACTTCAAATTAAACAAAAAGTTAGCTTTTTTCAGAAAAACATCCAATCATGCCTCTTAGCTTATTGGTTGTTTTGGGCCCACTGATACTTGCATTGAATTTATCAACAACAAAAAAAGAATTTATCAACAAAAAAAAATTAAAAAAAATACTTGCATTGTAGTATATTAACTTTAAAACTTGGCCCCTGGCAAAAGTTATAATTCTATATGTGACCCAATTGTAGCACTTTTTAAACAACCTTTGCCTAACACATTCCCAGCTGATTTTGTCAGCGTACCTAAATAAGCACCTTCAAATAGGTCTAGCAACCCCAAACGGACCCTCAAAGACAGTTCTAGATAAAAAATTTCAAGTTTTGATACTTGTTGCCTGCTTATCTAATACCTGTGAACTCACATAACCCAACCATCTAAATAAGGGGAACCAACAGGTCAGTTATTCCCCTGAATCTTTCTATATACCAAATCCACATCGTTAATTTTCTTAAAGCATCAGATAGTTCTAGAATATAGCAAAAAGCAGACAATCATACATTGATAAAGAAAAAAACCATTTTGTAATGTAGTTCTGGTGTTTAAATTTGTAGCACATTTCTGATAATTTCAATTGTAAGGCATCTGTATTACATAAGGCTGCAGTCCTGAATTTTACTTCTGCCTAAGAATTGCAAACTAGTTTCAATTGGTGTAGTAAAGCTTATCTAAAGGACCATCTAAAGTTGTGAAGCAAAGATTTTGTCACATGACATATATGAAACTACATCAATCATCCTCAATACAAATTATCGTGACAAACATATATACATATTCCACTAATTGGGACTGAAGTGGGTGTACTTTAAAGGGGACGATTGGTTTAGTGGTTTTAAATTCAGGCCTAATAACCTTGAAGTAGTGAGTGTGAATACAAGGCAGCTACTTTGTACATAATGATTAAAGGTCAGCTCTGTACCTAGAACCCCATTAATAGGAACTAAACTATGTGTATTTCTATACATAAATATATATATATATATATATACCTTTATTGATCACTTCATTATAAGATCAAAATCAAAACTCAAGAGAATTGCTTACCTCTTCTAACACCAATTTGATCCAAGAATGGCCCAGATTGCCTAACTAAATATGCCAAAAGTTCTGGTACATCGAGCGGTGGAACTTCCTACATCATATATATAAGAAAAGCAGAAGAAAAGAAAACATTCAGCATAGTGTATTATAGATTGTAGGAAACTAGAATCATCAATATATCCAATCTATGACAAATGTCAATCAATCCTAAGGAACAAACATACTACACCACCACATATGAAATTTTGACTATGCCTATTGGTCTATAATTAAACCTAGGCCTGAGGTTTAGGCATCTACGTACGTGAGATGTTAGAATGTGATAAATATTGCAACATGAAACACATATCAAGGATACAATGGCATGTCAATATCCATTACAAAATGGTGTTGAACACAACCACCTTGATAAAAGAAGAAAACGAAGAAGAAAAATGGCATTCATGTCCAATACAAACACCATATTACAAAAAAATTTGTTTTCCCTGAAGAATGAAACACAATGCTAGCCTTTCAGTCTGCACAACTACAGCAGCATGAACTCCAACAGGACATGACCCTCCCAATTAATGAGTACAACCACATATCATCCAACTAACAACTCAAACATTCCTGTAGGAAAAGGATTACAATAAACGTTGGAATCATAAGATTCATATTATTGACGGCTGAGAAAACAACTTCCAGTCAACAGTGCTTATATGACTATTACGTCATTGTTGAAACAACCCTCCATTTTTTAGAAAATAAATAAATATAGATATATATATTAAATAAAATTCAATATTTTATCTCATTTTCTTCCCCTAGTGCCTTCAGAAAGAAAATATAGATTATAGACTCAAAAAAAAAAAGTTCTAAAAAAATTAACACATTAACGAATGATACATGAAGAGGAGTAGTTCAATACTAACCTTTGAATCAGTTGGGTCCTTGCAGATTGCTTTCTGCAAAATAAATAATTGGGTAACAGATTAATAACGAACATATGAATCCAGCTTGCAATTCTAACGTAAAATGAAAAATAAGTAGATATGCATCAATTACTAACAAAGATAATGATCAGGAAATTCTATCATCTAGAAACAAGTTTATACATTATTACCAAGCATTCACTTCCTATATTGGAATGAATCAAAACACATGTTATAGTTAGCAGCAACATTCGCACTAATCTTATGTTTATGGCCTTCCTTTTAATGAAAAAATGTTTATGCCTTAGGACATAACTAGTTCCTTGCATACCTTCAATGGACATGGTATGCCACTTAATGCATAAATATTGATCCCAAATAATAACCAGCCTCGAAAGAACGTAACAAGAGTACAAGACTGACAATGTATGAAATAGTCAAAACTACTGCATTTACTGCCATGCCAAAAAATCTCAATTCAAATTATAATGGATCTACAATGTTGACTTTCAGAAAACAACTAGTTGCGTCTCTCAAAAACGGAAGGAATGATAAGAGTAGTAAAAACATTTTTACGCAGTTTGAACAGGGTGACAAGAGAAGTAAAAACATTTTTACGTAGTTTAATTTAAACAGGAAGATCCAACCTTATGAGATCATTCCCTGTTGAATAAACCATGTTGGGAACTTCTAGAGATGCATACTTAGGTGATATACGTCCCAATGTCCCGTATTACCTTGCATGGACCAAGGATGGAAGAATAAACAGCAATCTACAACTTTAAGAAGATCATTTTTTATTGAAAATCGTAAAAGGCAACGAGTCTCATGAAGAGCCAACAAAAAATATACATAGTTTTGTAAATAAGAAAAATCCAAAAGAGCTTCAACAGGGTGCAAACCGGAGTACATGCAGAGAAGCAAAAATGACACACAAAATATCTTTAGAATTGACCAAAAAAGTCCAATGATTGCAGCAAAACCCTATAGGCCACACAAATAAACTGCTTAAAAGAAGGGAAAAAAATGCTTCCATGGTCACAAACACCTCACTCCTTGAAATGAAGTCCTATACCTCTCCTTCCATAGACAACAAAAGAGGCATTAAGGACACACTTCTTAAACTACATCCTCACTTGCTCACTCTAGACCAGCAACTGGAGTCCAACAACTCTTAACACAAACTTTGGCATAAAACACGCCATCTGACAGAGGCAAAATGTAGCACGGACACGGACACGGACACGGGACATGACACAGACACGACACGGACACTCCATTCTTACATTGTGCTAATCTAACATGTATCGCCCTTAATACCAGCCATGCTTCGCCGTGGAAAAAAATCATCGCAGCCACTCTATGGGAACATTTACTCTGGTGAAAGTTTACTGCAGTTGAAATGCAAAATGTCATGCTTTTTGGTAACTATACAGTGCCATTCCTAGGGAACAAAATCTACGTATATCCCATGATCTACGTATATCCCAAATTTTAGTTGACTTGTATAAATCTTTCTTAGCCAGGCTTAAAATATAACCCTAATAAGCCCTCATCTATAAACAGGGTTTTATTTCACATCTTATGGTCAAACGACTATTGCAGTAACATTTCAAATAAAAAATTAATTTGACAATGCTAAAGATCAAGTGATTCAGATAAAGTGCTAATGCTTCACACTTAAAATGTTGTTTGGCACTTGAATAAGGTCTAGAGGAGATTTAGCCCTCAAAATGGAAAAGAATTTGCTTAGGATTGATAACATAACATGACAGAGATTATGAATTGTTCATTTTATTCAATTAAACCAGTACGAATTTGCTTTATGCCAATCAATTCTGCAATCAATATAATAATCAATTAGACACACAAAAGGATTCCCTTTTTCTTTTCTTTTTTCCTTCTTCCTGTCGAAAATCAAAACGGACAAAAACCACAGGACCCCGTAGCCAACCAATTCACCATTAGTAAGGGAAAAAAAAAAAAAGAAGCAACCCAACCCTAACCCAGTTCATATGCCTTAGGTGTTGAATCCTAAAACTTGTTAGCGTGTTTCTTATACCACTGGAAATCGGTGATGTTTGTTCCTGAATGGTTGGTAGAGTATCAAGCATCCATGATACTCTGTGAATTCACCACAAATTAAACACGATCCACCATTGACTAGGAAATCACCAAAACAAACTTAAAATGTATTAAAGTGATGTAAAACGCATATTAATCTATTGATAGTGCAAGCGAATATGGATGCTTCTCTTATTTGACAAATTTATTTTGGTTACAACTAGTTTAATTCTCCTCCCATACGAAATTGCTGGTCCATTTTAACTATTCCAAACATCCCAAAAAAATCATCTATGTTTTTTTATTTATTCTTTCTTTCAATTTGTAGGAAAAAAAAATACATTATTTATTGACCCTACTAAAAGGCATGAATGCTAAAAATTGACAAACAGTTGGGGATGGAACGAGTATTTATAAATGAGATGACTTGAAGACCAATCCCATCCAAAATCCAAGTTAAAACCACCTTAGACTTTGCAAAATCGTTGGCCACTGCTTGAGCCATGAAAATCCCTAGAGACTGCTTCCACTTGAGATCTCAGTTTTTTAATAGATGGAAACAAAGTTGATTGAAAACTCACAATTTTCATACAATGGAAGATTTTTTCTTTCAAGCTTGTCCCTTAGCTATCCTTCAAGTCAAAAGTTATCCTATAAAAAATTGGATATGTTGTGGCTAAGATTTTTCTTTATACTTTGTTTGGATTTGACTTGCTTTCATATGTATTTTTTCTTCTATGATTTTGCTAAGCAGTCAAGTCACACAAGGAGGGTTCTTTCCATTCTAGTTGCTCCCAATATGTATTATTATTTCTTCTATAATTTTGCTAAGCAGACACAAAGGAGGAATAAAATGATTGATATTTGCTCCCAATAGGTATTATTTCTTCAATTGTGATTTTGAAGGTTGGAGCTAGTCCTCCTAGGCATTTGTACATCAACTTCTCAGCACACCAAAATCCCATCCAATCAATTTCCATTTGATTCAAATTCTTGTTAGCCCTCCAACACATAGGAGTATAATGAGTGATGTTGGCCCTCCAATACTACTAAATCAATGACAGCCTAAGTTTTCTAATCCAAGATTAAATAGTCTGAGAATTCAACCTGACCAGCCTTAAGACAACCAACTTTATTTTGTTCATGTTGTATCTCAAGGGGGAATAATGAAGGAGAATTTTCCTCTTCCTGGTAGATAAAATCCAAAACGAGACACAAGGAGAAATCCCGGGCAAAAATTACATAAGAGGGAAAAAGGCCAAACTATACATCAACCCATAAGCTAAATTCTTCCGGCAAATCAATCAAGAAACAAAAGAAAGAGATTCCTAATAGTATTTATCAAAAGAGAGAGAGAGAGAGAGAGACCTAACAGTAATCTACGTTACACGGACTCGGGTGCGGATATCGGGTACGGGTGTGCATCTAAGGGTCGGACACTTTAAAATTAAAAATTAAGGATACGTGGATACGGATCCAAATTAGGATACAGGTATGGAGATACGTTAAATAATTATTTTTAAATATATTTATTATATGAAGATGAGTTTAAAAAGTTTAAGGAATAACAAATTTTATTAAAAAAATAACAAATAAATAATAAATAAAAATTATAAACATTATTTTAGACATAAAATAAATTATATTATATATGATAAAATAAATTATTTTAATTTTAGACATAAAAGTTATGTTATTTATGATATATTATATTATATAATATTTTTTTGAATAAATAATATTATATAATATGAATAATATTATATTAATATAATTTATATTATATATAATTCAAATAATGATATGACTTTAAATAAATGATAGTAACTTTTTGACTTTTTAATTTTTTTAGAAATGACAAAACAGGACGGCAAGATTTTTTCTTTACTCTAACCACGGGGCACGGCTATAGATTTTCTTGTAATTTTATTGTGCATAGCTTTAAACTATAAACG